AGAGGGTGGAAAGGGGCAGAGAGGACGTGTTGGGAAACACAACCTGATAGAAACCCCACCAAAGCCAGGTTGGCAGTGTGGTGTATCTGGCTGGGCAAGGTGCCGCTGGGCAGGAACAAGGTGTTGTGTTGGGCTGGCAGCCAAGGGCTAGAGCGGGTGCTCTGGGGCAAGACAGAACTTGCTGGGCAGTGATGTGTGTCTGGCCATGTTATGGAAGCACCCAATGAGGTGAACAATGCAGGTCTGGGAGCTGCTTGCACAAGGCTTGTGGGATGGCAGCAGGGGGAGATCACCTGGTCCTGTACTGTGCTACTTGTGCTGCTTGCATGAATGCACCTCCTGCCTGCCCTGCCTGCTTCTCTCCTTTTGTTCCAGAGAGATGTACAGACAGGGGAGTCACATTCACATGGTTCTTTATTCTTTTTATAGGGCTTCCTCTTTCTTTAGCTTGTCTTTCCCAAGAAATAAAGCTTCTATTCTCCACTTTTAATATCCTAACCTGTTGTTTGCAAGCAAACTTGACATAGTGGTATGGTTCAAACAACTGCTGAATTTTGACTGGTTTCATGAAGAGGCTCAACTAATGCTGCTATAATAGAGAGGACTATTCAGTTCTCCCTTCATCAAGCTGTTGGATACAGGGCAGACAGTGGAAGCCAGGTTCTATCAGTTCTGCCTTTGCCCTGCTTTGTTTAACAACAACATTTCTGTTTATAGGGGAAAGGTGAGAGCAGAGGAATGTGTGCTGGGCTCTTGCAGTCTCCCAGCCATTCTCTTCTTGCCTAGGTGCAGGTTTGTGGTGAGGTTTAGAGCTTGAAACAAAGCCAGTCACAGCCCCTGAGCAGAAATCACTTGGACCTGAACCCAGCAAGAGGCTGGATGTGAGCCTGAAAGCCAGAGGGAAAAAGATGGGATGGAGAAATAGGGAATTCAGAGCCAAGGTGGCAATGGCTGAACCCATTATTTCTGCTAAATGCTTCATTTAGTGCAGCTCGTGTGTGTTTTGAAGAGTTGCTTGCATATGCAAGCATGCTTGTTTTAACTGGACTTCTCAGCCTCCTTACCTGACTGGGAGACCCTCTGGAGCTGGTCAATCTGGCCAGGAGAATATAGACTCCAGATGGCACTGCACACTAGTGCAGACATGAAGCAGTTGACCTGCTCTGAAATGCTAGCTTCCTAGAATGACTCACCTGGCTCCGTGAAATAAGCAGACTGGCCCTGGGGTACTGCATGTGGTCCTACATCTTGGTACCAGCTGAGATGTTCATCTGCAAGCTCTCAGCCTTGTTGGTCATGCCTGAGAAATGAGGTCTTCAGCTTCTGTTTGCAAACAAAGTTTGGTGGACGTCAGGTTGGATAGCATCTCGTCCTTTCCCTCTATAGGAAAGGTGTAAATTACTAGCTGGTATGTTAGAAATGCCACAATTACACCTGATGCCTCTTCTCCAGCTGTACCAATTACACTCCACCCTGATGATGATGAGGTGTCACAAGGCAGGAATAATGACAGATGAGTGAGGGGAGGAGATCATGGCAATGGGGAACATGAGAACCGAAGGACTGAAGAGATGGGAGAAGGCAATGAACAGGCTGCTCCTGAGTTTTGAGGTGTAAACACAGTAGATCCCCAGGTAACATGGACCAGTGAAAGGATCTAGCTGGATCTGGTCCTCTTCCTGCTTTGCTTCTTAACCACCAGCACTGCAGGCCTGGGACTGTGACTGGGGCACTGCAGCCTAGCCACAAAGACTGTCTATTTCTCCCAGACTGACTGAATGAAGAAGCATTTGCAGAAAGTACAGTCAGTGCACCCAACAAAAAGGACAAGTCTTACTAGGTTTAGTTTTCATACAAACCATGACACGCTTATGGCCCTGGATGGACTGTGGAGTCCTTTAAAGAGCTAACGAAATCTTTACCTTGGTCTTAATGAACACTTCCAGCTTAATGACACTTGAGGAAAGGAAGCTTGCTTCCGTGGTTGCTGTGCAGGAGGAAATGGCTCACTCTCCAGGTTTTGGTTTACTATTGTTGGTATGCACTTGGAAGCACCCAGCAAACTCTGAGCATCAGGAGATGAGCGCTTGCATGTCAGATGTGTTGGGATGGAGGACCTCATGGTGGCATTGCCGTAAATATTGGGGTTGCGAGGGGAAGTGCCAGCCAGGGTAATGCAGGTGTGTAATGAGCGGTTCTATTTGTAACTTAGATTATGTGGGAGAGCCCAACAATTTGTAAAGGGCAGCCTAGTAATAGTGTCAAAAGAGCTTCTTGTAACAATGAGCTGAGCTTATCTGACTTTGCAAGTATATTTGGTACTACACTAAACAGTATTCTTCTGCTTATCATCCTTGTTGGTTCATCTTTAGTTGTCGTATTTATGTTACTATAAGCTATCTTCACTAATGTTTGATTTATAGGTGTTTCCAAAATGTAATATGACAGATCAAATCTAACATGACAGATCAAATCTAACTCACAGATTACAATGTAATGGGTGATATATGTAGTTTCAGGCATGGTGATCTGGCACAGTGTCTTGAGAATGACATCTGTTGATTTATTTACTAGAAAAAAAGAGAAATAGCTGTCAAGCTTTTCAGATCCATCAAGATTTATTCCCTCAATCCAATACACTGCTATTATTGCTGCACTCTAAGGACTTCTTTTATTTCTTTGCAGATAGACAGAGAGTGCTAACAGGGATGTTGTACTCGATATCTTTGTGCTAAAGATATTGTATTTGGTGTGTGTTTGGAGACAGAAAAGTCTTTTCTAACAAGGGATATTAAAGACACAGCAAACAAAGTGCCATATCCATTTAAAATGGCTTTAATTGAAGAGAAGGAGGGTTCTCATCTTTCTTTCCAGGCTGCCCTGTGCTGAATTGGGCTTTTCTTGCAGTGACAGCAAACTGCTCTATCAGCAAACCGCAGCCCATGACCAAGTGCCACTGGGAGTACAGAAATCCTTGGATTTTAGCACTGAGTCTGATAGGGCTGATGGGCAAGAAATGTTAGATGATATATCAGTTACACAGCAGGCAGCTGCAGGAATAACTGGCGTAACCTTCTCCCCCTGGTCTTGCTATAACTTTTAAGAATGCTTATTCATCTACTGCAACAGGTTGCTGCTAATAGAGATACAACTTCACTCTGGGAAAAGCTGTTACGTGATGAAAACTTTTAATTATACAGAGTTTTACCCACTCTTCAACAGGGCACTGTGCAACAAAACTTCCATTTCTCAGCATTACTCTTCTGGTGTTTTCTGCAATCTCTTTCTATTCAGCATTTCTCTCCCTTCACCCTGAATGCTCTCTGTCAGTTTATATCTCTATAAAACACCTTTCTTTAGCTATTTTAAAATGATGTCTTTGAGATCTTTTTCTGGTTATTCTCATGATAATTTTCATTTAGAAGACCATTAAAAAGAAAAAAAGGCTAGAAAATGCAAAGGCAAAGTCACAACTGCAGTTAGGACAGACTAAGAAAAGTCATTTGTACGTGGGAAGTAAATAGGCTTGAAGATGACGAAATGTGTTTCTGAATGCAATTAATACCTGCATTACACTTTCGCTATTATTTCTGCAGTTAACATTAGGCAATAAAAGTAAGAATCATAATTAACAGATGATTGAAATTTTTTTTTCATTTTTTCTTTATTTAACATGAAGCAATTTTCTCCCTTGTTGTTACACATGAGAAACCAAAAGACTCACCGCAGGAGGTCTCATTGATGCAGGAAAACCTCTCCTTTGCTGCATGCCCACTGATGCCACTCTTATTTCTTGCCTCGCAGCCAGTTTTGACACCTGGAAAGGCAGCGCTCCACGACGGCAGTGGTGCGGGTGTTCAAGCGGAAAGGTGTTTGAGGGGCCGGGCAGGTTCCAGTACCCTTGACCATGCCCTTGGCAGAGCTGGTGTCTGCATGTGTGCATGGCTCCACAGTGCTCTGGGATGTGCACATCCCCGTGGATTCTGCAGCGCCCTGGGACATGCACGTCTCCATACAGATTGGACTTTGGGATGTGCAGGGATCCACACATGTAACTGGGCACTGATCGGGGCAGGGATCACCAACGATCACACCCTGCCCACAGCAAGGTTCTTCCGTATTAGTCTCGATCACCTCTAGGGTGCAGGGCTCCACAGTTGAGACCGGGTGCTGGAAGGAGATGTTTCCCACACAGGTCCCAGCTGTCTCAGGGATGCAAGACTCCACCGGTGAGGTTGCTTGGTGGAGGGGGATGGTGTCCATGCCTGCCCCAGCTGTGTCAGTGGGACAGAGCTCCACTGTCAGGATTCGGTGCTGGAGAGGGAAGGCTTTTGCACCAGTCCCAACTGTCTCCATGCAGGGATCCATTGATGACGTTGGGTACTGCTCGGGGAAGGTTTTCACACCCATCCCAGCTGTCTCGGGGGTGCAGAACTCCACTGGCAAGGCTGTGGGCTGGAATGGGAAGTTGATCCCTCCCTTGCTTTGAGCAGGTTCACAGGGGTCCGCTGCTGGGCACAGGCAGGCACTCACACAGGGAGAAGAGCTGGGGTCGCAGGCAGCAGTGTGCTCAGGGCAGCAGATGTCCTCAGGCATGGAGACAGCGGGAGGAGGGCAGATGAGCCCAACCTCAGGACAAGCAGTCATACAGGCGGCAGTACCCTGACATGGGCAGGGATCCACCTGGAAAGTCTGCTCAGGACAGGGGGGCACGTCCTGCACAGGGCAGACATCCAGGTCCACCACAGCACGATGTGATGTGCATGTGTCTGCGTGCGCAGCCTCCCCCATGGAGGCAGAGGGGGACAGGCAGGGATGCTTGCACTGGGAAGTCATCTTTCTGCACTGCAGGCAAGCCTGAAAGAAAAAAGGCAATCTGTTGTCTTCCCAACCCAAAGAATCAGTCATTTTCTTGGCTGGTGAGTCCTTCATCAAGATGCTTGCTGTTTGTTGCTGTTTGTGCCACATTTTGATCTTGAAATAATGAATAAAGAGAAAATCTTCTGTTTCCTTAAATTCTGCAACCACTTCTTATGAAAAGAAGTTTGGTCATTCTGTTTTTCTGTATAAACTTCCCAGCTCAGCTTATCTTATTCAAATCTGTTTCCAGCCCAAAAAATTCACCCTAACAGCATTTTCCTGCATAGATCGGAGTAGATATCGTTATAGTTTTCAGCAAGTTTATAAACTTCAAGTTGATCCCTTCTCTTTCCAGGTATTTTCTGCTTGTCCTGAAGCTCTCTTGCAGGACAGTACCCATCTTGCAGCAGCTGCAAGAGGTGCAGCTCTCACTGTCCTACCTTTACCATGGCTAAAAGCAGCAACAGGCTAAAGAGGTAAAAGAAAGATGTGAGTGTTTAGGATTGCCATGAGGCTGGGTGCTCTTACCTGAGACCTCTGTCGCTGCTGTATGTGATGCTGTAGTCACTTCGCCACTGAGACAATAACTACATGCACAGCAGTTTTGGCTTCTGCCTGCTGTGTACGTGCTCAGTGAGCAAGACAGTAATTTATCCCTCTAAATCCAGTGCTGAGACAACAGGAAGCAGTTTGCAGAGCGTCCATGGGAATTAGAGCAACCTAAGTGTGAAGGAAGATCAAATCACTTAAAATCCTTGTCACCGAGAAGGCGTGAGAGCCAACAAACTATTTCCCTTACAAAGCTGGTAGCAGTAATCTATTTCAACACATAGCAGACAATTAACACCAGCAATAGACTTAGATTTATACAATCCCAAAGATACTTACCCAGCTCAGGACTGGCAAATAAAGATGGCTAACAAGCAGAGCAACTTTGACCTGGGATCTACCTTGTATATTCAAGAGCCTAGCTTTGAGATGAAGTGCCCCAGGCACACAAGCAGGCTACCCTTTGTTAACGCAGACCTGCTCTGCCTCTGCCCTGTGATGAATTATTAGACTAATGATTTTTAATGGAAACTGGCTATTTCCATGCCTATAGTGTAACCTCAGGTGGGCAAAGATGGCTTGTAAATTCACATGCCCTTTCAGCAGGGTGGATGCCAGAGAAGTATTTAGGAAACGAATGGGTCGTTCGCTTGCTCTCAAATAGTAAGTCGTGTTTTCTGCAAAGCATCCTCCAGCCCAACACATCCTGCAGGTCATTAGAGACAGGACGGGAGGTGAAAATTGGAGGATCTTTTGTTTTTAGCCACATTTGACCTCTTTCTGTCACTGTCATGTTTAGAGATGGTGCTGCTGGTGGCAGGGTCCTGCGGGACTCCTGGAAACTCTGTGTCGTCATTAGTCTCGTGATGTTTTGCAGTTTTGCATTTTCTCCTGAAGCTCGGACTCAAACAGCACAACACTACTAAGCTGCCATGATGTTGCCTTTATCCTCATGCAGGTACACCCCTAAGGAACAGACGGGTGATAGGAGAAGTGACCACCACCCTTTTCCCATCAGCCCACTGGTTCACCCAAGTCAGCTGAATTATGCTGAGGGTTAATTCAAAACCCTGTGATCAGCAGTGAACTGGCAACACAAGAGGTCAAGCTTCCCAGATTGATTGATTTCAAATTAAATAGGCAAAAGCCACTACATTGGCCCCACCATGCTCAGTAGCAGGGGTACACAAATTTAAAGGGAGAACAGCATGCAGACACAAACCCATACTTTAGTCTCCAGATAATAAACACCCTCATCTCCGCATGCAAGTAATACTGGTTTGATGCTTGTGTTACTAAGTGACTAAAGGCTAGTTTAGAGTGAGCAGAGAAGGAAGTTTCTGAGCCTTTGATCTCTCACAGGCAATTCACTTGTTGACTCTCCCTTCTCTCTTATAATGAGAGGTTTTCACACAAGAGCATCTTCACTTGACTGCAACTGTGGCAGTCAGAAAACAGTGACACCATGCTGTTGAATTGTGCACAGTCCTCTATCTTCTGTGTACAGTGTATCTCAGACTCAGTTTAGCCAGCTATATGATAAAGATGTGCACAGCAAACCAGAAACAGCTACTATCACTGGCACTATGGTCAGAGCACCAAACACAGACAGTTCATCACTCTGGAGCATCTGCATAGAGATGGGCTGCTGCAGTAGATGTCCTGGAAAGAGCTTGAGTGACATTAAAGACCTTAACACAGTGCAAAGACTTCCCTGCCTGCCTAACTAACAAAATAATGACAAATTTAGGTTTTGCTGGCTTACTGCACTTGACTGAGGAGCAGAAGTGTTATGAAGCTGCCCAGAAAACTTGGGTGTTCCCATGTACTTGATTGCACTCTCCAGCATACAGTTAATAGGCACGTAACTACTCCCTTCCATCTAGAACATGTGAGACAATATCTGGAGGCTGTGTTCACTTAGGAGCCCACAGGCAAGGCCGTCTCTAACAAACTGGGATGAGCCTGGTAGAGATCACCAAGATGTTTCAGGAGCGTTGAGGAGATGATAGATGGGGAGAGGCTGAAGGACCTGCTCCTCTTGAGAGGAAGAGACTTAGGGGAGATCCTGGGGCCACTTTCACCTATCTAAAAAGTATTAATGGAGAGGCTTTTCTCAGAGGATCCCAGGGACAGGAGAGAGGCAATGACTGCAGGTTGCAACAAGGAAAATTATGCCCAGATTATTGGAAATAAAGTTCTCAGTAAGGAGGATATTGCACATTAGTGAGAGCAAGCAAACTTGCCCAGCTGAGCAGAGCAAAGCTGCCTGCAGAGTTCTATCCCAGGTGTAACCCCGGTCTCTATGGCTGTCTTAGGGCAGGGTGCAAGAATGTGCCAAATTCATGCTCATGCAAAAAAAAGTTTAATCCTGAGGCAGATTGTTTCCAGGCTGTATCATCAGCTCTTTGTTCAAAATAGGAAATATGTGGATCAGGAATACAAGCTGCAGGCAGCAGTCCTAGTATCGCGTGTACCAGTTTGGTGGCCACATTTGATAAAAGATTTTAACATAGAATGATTGATAGAATGGTTTGAACTGAAGAGGAGCATAAGTTCATCAAGTTCCATACCCCCTGCCGTGGGAAAGACACATCACCATAGACTATGTCTCTCCCAAGTCTCTGTCCAACATTAACAAGTAATTTAAGAACTGAGGGTTGAGCAGGTCTGGATTATTAAAAAATGCATTTCCATACGTGTGAGGTGTCTCACTTCTGGAGACACGGACACTGAAATCATATAAAACGATTGATTCTGCAGTGTCCTGCAAACCATTTGGGTTTCCTTTGCTACTTGCTGGTGCTGTGTTGGGTAAGTCTGTCTTGGCTTACTGGGAAGCAATGTAGTGGCTGGTGTTCTTTAGTTGTTAAATGCTACCTGCGGAAGCAAGGTAAGCTTCTGCTAATCAAGATTTGTGTTTGGTGCTTACCAAGCAGCTGAGCTAAGGGTATATGGATATTCATTCCGTCTTCTACCAGTCTTCATTTGCTGTGTGCTTTGCAATTGCTGTGCTTTCTCTATCAAGATGAATGTCAGGGTAGCTGAGAGTGGACTAAACTCTCTCTTTGCCTGGTGCAATGTTACTGTGTTTCAGCTGTGAAATTAAATGTATTTGAGAAAGATGGAAAGGCGAAGCTAGGATTTCAAAGGAAAAAAATGGTTGGGGAGATCTTGCAGGCTGCATGAGCATACGCAGTCCTGGCTGTGACCAGCGGTACTGCAGCAGATGTGGAAATGTCTGCTATAGCTAGTTCATGGCTCCATGATTGGCTGCATGTGGGGAACCCATGATGACAGCCTCAAGGTGACCCTACTCTGCAGTACCATTGCCCTTTGGAGTGTTCAAAGCCTAAGGAATGAAAATGGTTTGCTGATCCCTATACTTGCCTCCCATCTTTGCCTTCTTGTGCACTTCCTGCCCTAGGAAAAGTAAATAATCCAACACTTTTCCTCAGGCTCGTATAATTTTTGCTGTAGTTACACCAAGAACAATGCATTGACTTGTAAGACATAACTAAATTACTTTGTGCCCCCAAGGAATATTGCCTGGGAGAGTCGTTCTGTAATTACTGTTTGTACTGATGTGGCTGGAGGAATTTCCCCATCTGCTGTTTCTTGCCAATTTATTCCTTTTCGTGTGAGAAGCAATAATAAAAAAACTGCTTTTGGCATCAGCTGTCCTGAAGTGTTTCTTTCACTGTGGTATTTCCACAGACTCACCCTTTCTCTTTGAATTTCTTCCTAAACCCTGGTGTTTGTAGTCTGTTAGCTTCTGGTAGAATGCATGGGAAGGTGTAAGGTGATAGACTTGGGAGAGATCTGGGACTCATCTGGGACATCCCATACCATTACTGGGAGAGGGGATGCTCTATGGCACGAGGAAGCACTGCTCTGACATACTTTTGAAAAGACTTGGAAAGGCCAAGCATTTCCCAAAGTGCTCCTCAGACGCTGGAGGAGCTTAGGGCCAGCAGCATCTGCCTCACACAGGCTGACATTAAATGTTCCATTATGAGCAATGGGTAAATAAGCCACTGTCCAGGGAAAGGTGAGCAGATCTAGAAGCTAGCATAGTGGCTTTGTCACCATATGTGTCCTACAAGTCCTATCTCAGCCTGTTGCAATCAGCTTCTGTTTTCTTTTTGTCTCTGGTGTCAACTGGGTAAGCAGCATGACATAAGGGGATGGACACAGATTCACTCACCACTGAATTCTGCTGAAACGTCATTAGTGTTAGCCAGCTGCCACTGAAGTGTTATATACCAATCAATATAATTTATATTATTGATATCAAGCCTATAATTGATGTCCTTGGCTGTGTTGTCCTCAATTAAATCTCCTTGGGGCACACACTGGACTTTCCCGACTTTCCCATCTTTCTGCATTACCTACCAAGTACACCCAGGTCCTTGAGCAAAAGTAATCCCATGCATGGGTTTGCCTTTAACTGAGGCAGGAATAACCCAGACTATTTTCCCCAGCAGATTCTTTATGTGCAATACAGGAACTTATTCCTCCATTTAGCACCAGGTTCTCCAGCCAGCAGTGGTATCTTGCCACTGTGCAGCAACCCAGAAGTGTTTGCCTCTATGTTGACAGTTACTTTGCTTCCATTACATCAACCACCCCCAAGGGGCATTTGCCACTGTCGTGGTTTAAGCCCAGCTGGTAATAGAGAACCATGCAGCCGCTCGCTCACTTCCCCACTGCTTCCATCTCCCCCCTCCTCCCCACCTGGAGGTAGGGGGTGGAGAATCGAAAGCATGTGAATCCCATGGGCTGAGATAAGAACAGTCCAGTAACTAAGGTATAACACAAAACCACTGCTGCTACCAGCAGTAAGAATAATAAGGGAAATAACAAGTGGAGAGGCTACAAAACTAACAGGGGGGAGGAAGAAACCCCCAATAAACACAAGTGATGTACAATACAATTTCTCACTACCTGCTGAACAATACCCAGCCTGACTCAAGCAGTGATATGGGTCTTCAGGGTAACTCCACCCAGTTTATATATGGGGCACGATATGCTGTGGTATGGAATACCCCTTTGGCCAGTTTGGGTCAGGTGTCCTGTCCCTGCTTCCTCCAAGCTTCCCATGCCTCTCCTCACTGACAGAGCACAGGACATGGTGAGGCCATGATGACTTCTAGCATTTCTGGATAAATGGGATTTCATATTTGAGCTCATTGTGTGATTAGTGCAACCCACTTACTCCATGTAATAACAATTGCATGATGTGTAGAGGAGACCCTCCCTTTGAAAATCCAGACCAGCATGGGCAGCCCATGTGCCTGGAGCAGTTGTGCTTCAGTGCCAATCATAGAACCATAGAATCACAGAATGTTTAAGACTGCAGAGTACCTTAAGATCATCTAGTTACAACCCCCTGCCATGCACAGGGACACTTCACTCTAGACCATGTTGCACAAGGCTCTGTCCAACCTGGCATTGCACACTGTCATGAATAGAGCATTTACAATTTTGGCAAACAAGTTCCAGTACCTCACCACCCTCTCAATAAGGAACTTCTTTCTTATATGTAACCTGAACTTCCCCAGTTTGAGTTTAAGCCCATTACCCTTTCTCCTATTGCTACAGTCCTTGAAGAAGACTACCAATCCGGCATCCAAGATCACTTCTGAAGGAGCTGGAAGCCCTTCATAGGCTGCCACTGTCTCTTTCCCAGTTGGAGCATAGCAGGTCTTGGATCCCTAGTATCATCATCTAAAAAAAGCCGAGGGGTTGACCTTGAGTCTCTCCAGATGCTTTCTGCCGGAGGCTCCAGAAAGGACCATTCTTTACAGCTGCGGTGCAGAGCACTGGGCCAAGTGCTACTGCATTAACTAAGTCCCATTTAATTTGCTCAAAACCTTGTTGTTTCTCAGGGCCCCATTTGAAATCGTTCTTCTCCCAGTTCCTGTGATAGAGAGGGCTTTCAACCAGACTGTTATTTGGGATGTATATTCCTGGAAAACACAAAAACCTGAGAAACCTTGTGTTTCTTCTTGGTTGGTAAAGGCATTGCTGTTATCTTATTTATGACATCTGTGTGGGTCTAACAAAATTCATCTTGCCAATTTTAATTCCCCAAAACTGGATTTCCTGTGCAGGTCTCTTGCTCTTACTCTGGAATGTGCCAAATAACCTTTTATCCAAATCAGGTTTAATCCCGAGGGGGATGGTTTCCAGGCTTTATCATCAGTTCCTTATTTCTTATCCCCCAGCATACGTGGAACAGGAATAAAAATTTGCAATCAGTGCTGATATTGTTGCATTTAACACCTCAATGGCCACATTCCATTAAGAATTATAATGTAATTCTTAATGGAATGTAAGGCAGTAATTTCAGAATTGGAGGTTGAGCAGTTCTGGATTATTAAAAAAATGCATTTCCATACCCTTGAGGTGTCTCACTTCCGGAGACAGAGACACTGAAATCATATAAAAGGATTGATTTTGTAGTGTTCTGCAAACCATTTGGGTTTCATTTGCTACTTGCTGGTGCTGTGTTGGGTAAGTCTGTCTTGGCTTGCTGGGAAGCAGTGTAGTGGCTGATATTCTTTAATTGTTAAATACTATCTGCAGAAGCAAGTTAAAAGACTGATGAGTGCTTCTGTTTATCAAGATTTGTGTTTGGTGCTTACCAAGCAGCTGAGCCTAGTGTAGATCGATATTCATTCCCAGTTCTACAAGTTTTTATTTGCTGTGTGCTTTGCAATTGCTGTGCTTTCTCCATCAAGATGCATTTCAGGGTAGGTGAGAGTGGACTAAACTTTCTCCAGTGGCAATGCTACTTTGTTTCAGCCATGCAATTAGTGGGTTTGAGAAAGAGGGAAAGGCAAAGCTGGGACTTCAAAGGAAAAAAGTGGGTGGAGAGCAATGAGAAGAAGTGGATCTTGCAGGCTGCAAGGATGAGCAGTGCTTGGTTGGAAATGTGGATGAGAAGAGGCCGAAGGACTTCTGTGGGGGAGGTGGGAAAGCTGCTGCACTGTAAGCATCAGCTCCTTTCCTTGTAGAAGTTTTGCGTCACAACTTCGCCCTTCATGTCCTCTAGCTGAGGACCTGTGTGTGGACAAGGAGTTATCAGAAACCTAGTATTCTCCTGTTTGGGTGGAATTTGGGAAGTAATGTCAAGCAGTTAATCCCAAATCAAAGAGATGTTTGTTTTCATGGGAAGGTTGCTGTGATTTCAGACCCTGCCATAGAATGTACTTGAGTTCAGATGACACCACTTTTCTTTCTTCTTTGGGAAAGAAGTTGTTTGAAATGTACGAGCAACCAGTAGCTTAATGTCTAAGTGCTTTTTTTGTGGTGTTATTGCTTTGCTATGGATTTCAGGCTGTTTTCCCAGTGTATTGTTCAGTGTTTGCCTGGAAAAATCATAATTCATAGGAACATAAAATAGCGTGTGAAAGCTGAATGTCTCTGTTTTCAACAAAGTATTTTCCTTTGCTGCTTTCAGACATCACCTTTCCTTCAAAGATGAGTTCCCAAAAGGGTTGCCACCTGACAAAGATCTACCTTTCAACTCCTGCCACTGTGGTGAAGGGTATTCCCTTCAGAGCAGTAAAAAGCTTTGTGAATGGCATTAGCAATTTGGCTAACACCCCTCTTGTGGCTCCATATCTGTATTCATATAGAAGTGATGGGAATCCTCAGAGCAACTCCACCTATTTCAACCGGGGCAATATTGATGTGACACAGAATCCCAAGTGCATGGATCCGTGCTGTGGGGAAGTGACAAAGTGCACGACTTCATGTGCAGACCCAAGCTGCTGCAAAGGGATCAAGGGCATCACTAAATGTGAGGATTCATGCTCAGAAGAAGTGTCCAAGGACAACACTGTTTACTTGAACCTGGGCAATATTGATGTATCACAGACTCCCAGGTGTGCGGATCCCTGCAGTGAGGAAGCAACCATGTGCACCACCTCATGTGTGGACCCAAGCTGCTGTGAAGGGATCAAGGGCATCGCTACGTGCGAAGATTCGTGCTGTGAAGGAGTGACCAAGGGCACTATCATTTATCTGAACCCAGGTGATCTTGATGTGATGCAGAACCCCAGGTGTGAGGATCTGTGCTCTGAAGAAGTCACCAAGTGCACTACAATTTACTTGAACTTGGGTAATATTGATAGGACACAGTGCGCGTTTCCATACTGTGTGGAAGTGATCAGGTACTCCAATGCATGTGGGGACCAATGCTTCTGGAAAGTGACCGAGGGCAGCAGCAGATGTGAGGATTTGTTCTGTGAAGATGTGACCAAGGGCGATACCATTTACTTGAACCTGGGCAATATTGATGGGTCCCAGACTCCCAGGTGTGCTGATACATGCCACAAGGAAGTGACCAAGTGCAACACCATTTTCTTGAACGTGGGTAATATTTGTTTGACACCGACTTCTCAGTGCATGGACTGGTGCTGTGAAGAAGTGACCAAGGGCAACACCATTTATGTGAACTTAGGCAGTATTGACAATATGGACTTGACACAGAATCCAAGGTGCATGGGTATCTGCTGTGGAGGTGAGACCAAGGGCAACACCATTTACTTGAACCTGGGTAATATTTGTGTGACACCGACTCTCAAGAGCACAGATCAGTGCAGTGAAAAAGTGACCAAGGGCAACACCATTTTCTTGAACCTGGGTAATACTGATGTGTCTCAGAATCCCAGGAGGACTGATCAGTGCTGTGGAGGTGTGACCAATGGCAACACCATTTTCTTGAACCTGGGTAACATTGGTGTCTGATGAAGTAACTGTATGGCTCGGTGAGGGGCTGCATGTGGAGGCTCCCATGGTGACAGCCTCAAGGTGACCCTACTCTGTAACACCATTGTCCTGTGGAGCCTCCAAAGCCTAAGGAATGAAAATGGTTTACCGAACCCTGTACTTGTCAATGCCTTCCATCTTCGCTTTCCTAGTGCCCTTCCTGCCCTCGGAAGAGTAAATCCTCCAATGGTTTCTTCTCGTACTCTGCTGAATTTCTGCTGTACTTACTCCAAGAACAATGCCTTTCCTTGTAAGACGTAACTAAGTGATTTTATGCCCCCATGAATATTGCCTGGGAGAGATATTCTGTAATTCCTCTTTGTACTGATGTGGATGGAGGAATTTCCCCCTTTGTTCTTTCCTGACATCTTGTTCTTTTTCTTGCAAGAAACAATAAAAAAAACAACCCTACTTTTCGCATCAGCTCTCTGCAAGTGTTTCCTTCACTGTGGTATTCCTGCTGACTCACCCTTGCTCTTTGAATTTCTTCCTAAACCCCTGATGTTTGTACAGTGGCTGCTTCTGGTAGAATGATGAGAGTCTAAGGCAAAAGCCTTGGGAGAGACCTGAACTCATCTGGGATATCCCAGATGACTGCTGGGAGAGGGAATGAAAAGAAACTTTTGAAAAGGCTGGGAAAGCTCAATCATTTCCCAAAGTGCTCCTCAGAAGCTGAAGGGGCTTAGGGCCAGCAATGTCTGCATCACACAGGCTGACATGAAATGTTCCATTATGAGCAATGGGTAAATAAACCGCTATAAAGGGGAAGGTGAGCATGTCTAGGAAACTGTGCCATGTGAAGCGGTCACCCATGTGTGTCCTACAAGTCCTATCTCAGCCTTTTGCAATCAACTTTATTTCCTTGTCTTTGGTGTCAACTGGGCAAGCCACATCACATAAGGAGCTGGACACGGATTCACTCACCACTGAATTCTGCCGCAGTGTCAGTATTATTAGCAAGGTGTCTTGAAGAATCATGGTAAATCTCCATGAACATCTGCTAACAGGGTAGCAGTGCTAGTATAGAATCCCATTTGTATGTCAATTGTTCTCTGGAATTACGTGAAGTCCTCAGGGACTCAAAGTCACCCTGTCACACTTGTCAAGGCAGTGCTCTGGAGGCCCACAGCAGAGGTGGTGCAAAGTAAAATTAGACTGAGCAGCAGCTGCTGCAGGTAGGAGAGACTGGGAGGCAGACTGCGGGGGAAGCCAGCCCACTTTCCTATTTGAAGCAAAGAGGGCTTCATGTATCCTTTGTCTCTGACTTTAAAAATCAAAGGGTCAGACTTGAGTCTCCCCTGGTGCTTTTTGCCAGAAGACCCAGGAAAGATCCAGGCAGGACCATTCTCCACGGCTGCAGTGCAGAGCGGATTTGTCATATCTTGGGTGCTGTGGGCTGGCCCAAGGGCTACTGCATGAGCTAAGTCCCGTTTAGTTTGCGTAAAACCTTGTTGTGGCTCAGGGCACCATTTGATACCGTTCCACTCCTGGTTCCTGTGATAGAGAGGGCTTTCAATCCGACTGTCATTTGGGATGTGCGTTCTCCAAAACCACACAACACCTGACAAAGCCTGCATTTCTCTCTTCCCGGCAGGGGAAGACATTGAACACATTGTGGAAGGTCTTGTTCATGACATCTGTGTGGGTCTGACAACATTCATATTGCAATTTTTGATTCCCCAAAACTGGATCTGCTGTGCAGGTCCCTTGACCTTTCTCTGGATTGTGCCAAATTACCTTTTATCCAAACAAATTTAATCCCGAGGGAGATTGTTTCCAGGCTGTATCATCACTTCTTTATTCTCCTTTCACTAGCAGAAATGTGTGGATCAGGAATACAAGCTTGCAGGCAGCAGTCATAGTGTGGTGTTTAACACCTCGGTGGCCGCATTCCATGAAGAATTATAAGCAAGCCAGTAATTTCAGAACTGGAGGTTGAGCAGGTCTGGATTATTAAAAAATGCATTTCCATACCTCTGAGGTGTCTCACTTCCGGAGACATGGACACTGAAATCATATAAAAGGATTGATTCCATAGTGTTCCACAAACCATATGGGTTTCCTTTGCTACTTGCTGGTGCTGTGTTTTGGGTAAGTCTGTCTTGGCTTGCTGGGAAGCAGTGTAGTGGCTGGTGTTCTTTAATTGCTAAATGCTACCTGCAGAAGCAAGCTTAGAAGACGCATGGGTTCCACTTATAAAATTTGTGCATGTTACTTACAGAGCAGTAGAGCCTGGGGTAGATCGATATTCATTCCAAGTTCTACCAGGTTTTATTTGCTGTGTGCTTTGCAATTGCTGTGCTTTCTCCATGAAGATGTGTCTCAGTGTAGCTGTAAGGGAATTAAGCTCTCTGTTTTCCCAAGCACAACCTACTAAGTTTCAGCCATGAAATCAGTGGGGTTGAGAAAGATGGGAAGGCAAGGCTTAGGACTGCAAAGAAAAAAAGTGGGAGGGAAGAGAAGAAGTGGATGTTGCAGGCTGCAAGGGTAAGCAATGCCTGGCTGGAAATGTGGATGAGAAGAGGATGAAGGACTTCTGTGGGAGAGGTGGGAAAGCTGATGCACTGTAAGCGTCAGCTCCTTTCCTTGTGGCAGTATTTTGTCACGATGCCTCCCTTCCTGTCCTCTAGCTGAGGACCTGTGCGTGGATAATGCACTGTCACAAACCTAGTAGTCTCTTGTTTGGGTGGAATTTGGCTTCCCAAATTCCATGTCATAGAGCTAATCCCAAACCTAGGAAGTGTGTGGATGTGTGAGGAATGCCGTGATTTCATACCCTGCTGTATAATCTCCAGAGTCCAGAGAGCACCACATTTCTTTCTTCTTTGGAAAAGAAGTTGTTTGAAATGTACGTGCAGCCAATAGCTAAATGTCTAAGTGCTTTTTTGTAGGCTTGATGCTTTGCTATGGATTTCAGGCTGTTACTCAGGATATTATTCAGGATTCACCTGGAAAAAGCCTAGTTAAATGAGAGGTAGAAAACAACTTGCGAAAGCTGAATGTCTTTGTTTTCCTCAATATATATTCCTTTCCGTATTTCAGATAATACCCATTCCTCAGAGATGAGTTTCCAAAACGGTTGTGAACTGAGACAGCCCTGCTTTCTATCTCCCAACACCCAGCTGGGGAGTTCTTCCTTACGAAGATTTGAAGATGCTATAAGAAATCTGGCTAATACCGCTCTTGTGGCTCCATATCTGTATTCATATAGAAATGAAGGGAATCCTCAGGGCAACCCCATTTACTTCAACCAGGGCAATCTTGATACGGTCCAGAATACCAGGTGTGTGGACCCCTACTTCAAGGATGTGAGCAGAGGCAACACCATTTTCTTGAACCTGGGCACTATTGACGTGTCCCAGAATACCGGGAGGTGCGTGAATGCATGCAGTGGATCTGGGAGCAATGGCAACACCATTTTCTTGAACCTGGGCACTATTGATGTGTCCCAGAACGCCGGGAGGTGTGTGAATGCATGCAGTGGAGCTGGGAGCAATGGCAACACCATTTACTTGAACTTGGGCACTATTGATGTGTCCCAGAATGCCGGGAGGTGTGTGAATGCATGCAGTGGAGCTGGGAGCAATGGCAACGGCAACACCATTTTCTTGAACCTGGGCACTATTAATGTGTTCCAGAATCCCAGAAATATTGACCAGGGCCGTGGAGGTGTGATAAACGGCAGCACCATTTTCTTGAACTTGGGTCTCATCAATGTCTGATGAAGTAACTGCATTGCTCCATGAGGCTCTGCAGTTGGTGGCTCCCGAGCTGTCAGCCTCAAAGTTACCCTACTCTGCAGTACCAATGTCCTGTGGAGTCCCCAAAGCCTAAGGACTGAAAACAGTTTGCTGATCCCTATGCTTGCCAGCATCTTTCTCCAGACTTCGATTTCCTGATGCCCTTCCTCCAATGGTTTCTTCTCGTGCTCTGCATAATTTCTGCTGTACTTAGTCAAAGGACAATGACTTTCCTTGTAACTTGTGCCTAAGTGACTTTGTGCCCCAGGATATTGCCTGGGAGAGGTATTCTCTAATTGCTCTTTGTACTGATGCTGTTGGAGGAATTTGCCCATCTCTTCTTCCTTGCCATCTTGTTCCTTTTCTTCTGAGAAGCAATAATAAAAAAAGTGTGCTTGGCATCAGCTGTCTGCAAGTGTTTCCCTCACTGTGGTGTTCCCGCAAACACACCCGTTCTGTTTGAATATCTTCCTAAATCCCTGGTGTCTGTGAGCTGGTAGCTTGTGGTTGAAGTTATGGGAAGGTGTAAGGCAATAGCGTTGGGGAGACTTGAACTCCTGTGGGATATGCCATGTGAGTGCTGTGAGAGGGGATGCTGTATGGCACAAGGAAGCACTGCTCTGCCATGCTTTTGAAAGGAGTCGGAAAGAAAAGAGCATTTCCCAAAGTGCTTCTTAGAAGCTTCATTCTTCATGAAACACTCACCTTCAGGAGTAAAGAGGAAAGAGGTGCCTAGTGCCATATTTGGGTTCCTTTCAGCCCTGGAAGGAACCATCTCATTACTCCATCAACTAGTCCCTAGTGTTCGAAGTAACCAATCTCCTTCTTTTCATTGGATGCTTATAGCCTTCTACATTCAGCCTCCTGGCATCTCAGCTATGCAAAGGTTTCCAAAGGGGAGGGATGGACAATCAGCCTGGAGACCTGCCCCACGTGGAACCTCCCACATAGCTGGATCACACCCTCACACTTTCCCCGAGTTGTTCTGGAAGGGACTGATGAGCAGGAAAAGTCGAGTCCTTTGGGGATGCAGGCTTTAAGACTGAAATGCACCAACATGCAAGAGAGTGCACTGGGAAGGCCTCAGCGTGCTGAGAATCTGGGGAGAATCCTTGATTTCTCTGAAAATGCATTCTCACCAAAATGCGATTAGTGGACTCTCTGGGATGCTAGACATAAGCAAAATGAACTCCCTGATGCCAACCAGTGCTAGGTGACACTGTACTTAGGAAAAAGCAA